AAATGGATGAAAGACCTCAGTGTGAGACAGGAATCCATCAAAACCCTAGAGGAGAACATAGGCAGTAACCTCTTTGACATCGGCCACAGCAACTTCTTTCAAGATACATCTCCAAAAGCTAGTGAAACAAAAGCAAAAATGAACTTCTGGGACTTCATCAAGATAAAAAGCTTCTGCACAGCAAAGGAAACAGTCAACAAAACAAAGAGTCAACCCACAGAATGGGAGAAGATATTTGCAAATGACACTACAGACGAAGGGCTGGTATCCAAGATCTATAAAGAACTTCTCAAACTCAACACCCAAAAAACAAATAATCAAGTCAAAAAATGGGCAGAAGATCTGAAAAGACACTTCTCTGAAGAAGACATACAAATGGCTAAAAGACACATGAAAAAATGTTCATCATCATTAGCCATCAGGGAAATTCAAATCAAAACCACATTGAGATACCACCTTATACCAGTTAGAAAGGCAAAAATGGACAGGGAAAGAATCAACAAATGTTGGAGAGGTTGTGGAGAAAACCCTCTTACACTGCTGGTGGGAATGCAAGTTGATACAGCCACTTTGGAAAACAGTGTGGAGGTGCCTCAAAAAATTAAAAATAGAGCTACCCTATGACCCAGCAATTGCACTCCTGGGTATTTACCCCAAAGACACAGATGTAGTGAAAAGAAGGGCCATATGCCCCCCAGTGTTCATAGCAGCAATGTCTGCAATAGCCAAACCGTGGAAAGAGCCGAGATGCCCTTCAACAGATGAATGGATAAAGCAGATGTGGTCCATAGATACAATGGACTATCACTCAGCCACCAGAAAGGATGAATACCCAACTTTTAAATCAGCATGGATGGGACTGGAGGAGATGATGCTAAGTGAAATAAGTCCAGCAGAGAAAGTCAATTATCATATGGTTTCACTTATCTGTGGAACATAAGGAATAGCGTGGAGGACATTAGGAGAAGGAAGGGGAAAATGAAGGGGGGAAATCGGAGGGGGAGATGAACGATGAGAGACTGTGGACTCTGAAAAACAAACAGGGTTTTAGAGGGGAAGGGAGAGGGGGGACTGGTTAGCCCGGTGATGGGTATTAAGGAGGGCACGTACTGATGGAGCACTGGGTGTTATAGGAAAACAATGGATCATGGATCACCACATCAAAAACTAATGATGTATTGTATGGTGACTAACATAACATAAAATAAAATTTAAAAAAAAAGGACAGATAGACTTGGTTTTGGCAGAATCGCTAGTGAACCTTCTTAGTTACACAAATGTAAAATCCAACCAGCAATGTTATCAAATAACTCAAATGCCAATGCTTCTGTCTAAGATGTTAACTTTTCTGTTTATGCTCACTTTGTTCATTTCTGTCATGCTCATTTATGAAATGGTCATATATTTTAGCAGAATGGTTTCCAGGAAAATCTGGCTCCTGTTAGTCTTCTTCCTCGCTTTTATTTTCCTCCCTGAATCCAGGTTTAGACGTCCCTACAACTGCCATATATTGTGTAGCCTGTGGAGTTTGTGTCCAACGTTTTGAGCCCTTGTTTGTAGGGGCTATGATAAAATGCAGAAGTGGAATGAGATGAAAACTGGGGTCAAAAGGTAAGTGTGACTAGATTTTGAATCCTGGTTGGAATGACACATGGGTTACAGGAAACCCTGAACACATTATTCTCTTGTATAAAATTGCTCCAAGGCTTCTTGGAATAAATACAAGGTCCTTTATCAACAGCTGCCTAGCTGTCTGGCACCTCTTGTGGATATACAGAACCCACACACCCAGACATTCATGCATACATACAATGCACATAGGCACATATGAGGCACTGGCTCATGCATGCACACATACACACAAGCACACCATACATACATGTGCACACAGATATGCTCGTGAGCACACACATACATGTGGACACTAACACACACATGCAGCCACACTCAGGACTTCCTGCAACCATGTGGCTGTCTCCTCTGCCTGAAACATCTTGACCTGCCCCCAGAGCTCCCCCTGCCCCTCACCTGGCTGGCCCCATGCATGCCTCACTGCCTCTAAAACCTTTTCTAACCCCCTTGGATGGGACCACTTACCCTCCCCACCAGCCCAGCTCCCTGGTGCTGCCTGAATGAGAGGTTATGACACTGTTTTCCAATCACTTGTTTACTAGTCTCTGGCTCCCAACTACCAGCTGTAAATAGTGGATGAGACCTAAATTTCTCCCAGAAATCTACACAGTCATAGCTCTGATTGGCTGGTTTCAGAATGAAACCTTTGGTGTGGTCGCCAGAGAGGAGGAGGAATTTAAAAAACGAGTCTTGGGAGGTGGAGGAAGAGCATTCCTGGCATCTCTGAACTGTATTTATCAGAAGTTAACTTCCATTTCCTACTCTTAAATCCCAGTGCCAGAACATCCCATCATTGTTCATAACAGAGCCTTGCAGAACTTCAGTCCAAGGCTCCCTGAGTGCTGTTTGGAGTGTCTTCTAGTCATTCTGTAGAAAGCAGTCAATATATGTTGGCTTTTATTCCTAACATCTGGTCTCCCCATACTACACTATCTACACCTTTAAAGGGTGGGAACTGTGTCTCCCAAATCTCTTGTGTCCTCTTTGTCTCCCAAGCACTAATATAGAATTCGCATATAATAGATGCTCAAAATGTTTTGTGTTTTTTTTTTTTACTTAGAGAACTTGATCCAATTTACCTTTCTCTTGTGAACTGTGCCCACAGCCACCCAGACATATCCAGTCTCAGTCGTGGGCCCTGCACCAAGTTGGATCAAGTTGAGTTACCATGAGTGAAGGAGATGAGCAGGCATGGGGAGGTGACAGGGGCTAGGCAAACCTTGGAACCAAAGCACCAAAGCTGATCCCAGGGCAGTGCCAAACAGAAGGCAGGTGGGATGTGAGGGGGAGTGAAGAGGAAGCTGGAGGAGCTGAAGCTCTAGTAGCAACTGGGTTGATCCACTGTTGACCTCAGGGGCCCAGGCTTAAAATCCAGGGCCTGCTTGAAATACTTGGATGATTCCTCCAGGTCTCCTGGATAAGTGTAACCTCCCTCACAAGGCATTCATAGCCAGGTCCCGCCTAACTCCTCATCTTCATTTTCTACAACTCCTCAGCCATAAGTCCTGGGTCCCAGCACATGATGCCTCACCACATCCCAGAAGTGCTAGGAGCTCTTCTCATCACACCTCCCAGAGTTGTTCTCTCTGCCTAGAAATGCCCATGCCCACACTCTCTGACTGGAAAACTACTCTTTCTTTGAGGCCCAGACTAAGTACCCTTTCCTTTTTGAAGCCCTGCCCAGCCCTCTCTGCTAGCTCTGCCTCTGTGCCACAGTGGGCACCATCCACCATGCTACCATGGCTCTCCTTACACTCTATCCTGAATGATCGGCAAGACCCAAGTGATCATGCACCAATCCAATCCAGACTTTGTACTTCTTCAACACCTTTGGTGTTCCAGCAGCTACTCTGGGTACTGGTGACCCGAAATTGAACAGAACCCACCCTCCAAAAGCACAGAGTAGTCTCAACACAAACACACAGGTATGACATGATAGCCAGGTGATAAAGTAACTGGGGCATATGCAGGCAATGGAGAGGCAAGGGTAAGAATCTGAACTTATTAAAGGCATCAGGCCAGCATGTCTCTCCTTGGCTAAAACCCTTCCCATAGCTTCCCTTCATACTTAAAGATAAACTGAAGCCCTCATTTTGCCTTTAAGGCCCCCAGGACCCAGCCCCTGCTGGTCTTGATCACCTCCTAACCCTCTCCCTTGTTCTCCAGGCTCCAACACCCCTGCTTCCCACTGCTGTGTGGACACACCAAGCCCCTTCTGTCTCAGAGCCTGTATGCTTGCTATTCCTCTGCCTCTTCACTCCTAGTCCCACTCGCTCCTGTCCTTTAGCCTCAGCTCAGATGTCACCTCTTCAAAAAGAGTCACCTCCCCTGCCCACCTTCTCCAATGTTATATCTCTCAATACTTGCCACCCTCACCCTCTATCACGTAAACTGCCCTTGTTTGTTTGTTTTCTTCTTTGATTATTTGCCTGTTCAATGTTTCCCCCACTCAATTACCAGCTCCAAAGAAGCTTGTTCTTGTTTGCCATCCTTTCCCCAACTCCCAGAATAAGAGTGGAATAAAAATGTGTGGAACAACATCGGGGTCAGATGGGCCAGAATGACCTTGAGTTCCATCATGTACAGCTCATGCGACCTTCAGCAAGTTATTTCACCCCTTCTAGTTCAGTGTCCTCATCTGTCAAATGGGTAAAAATGCTTGCCTTGCAGGGTGGTTCTGAGGGTGAAGACAGCCTGTCCTTGAATGCCCCGGCCCCTGGGGCATGTTGCATGGACACTGAGTAGTTACACAGAAGAGGAAGAGCACCAGCAGCCCACCACTCTGAGCACCGACACCATGGGCTCTCTGCCCTAGTCTGCACCCGACCCCAGATTGTCTGTGAAATGGAGAGAGATTCGGGCTCCAAAGACGAGTGTCAGTCCTAACTGCAAACTCTCAGCCAAGTCCCAGCCCTGTAGTGTTGGCTGGAACAAGTCACCTCAGCGCATTAGCTCCACCACAGCCTTAAACTCAACACACCCAGTACAAACTTGCCATCTGTCCCTCACTGCTCCTCCTTGTCCTCACATGTCAAAACCAGCAGACAACCAGTGGCATTGATCAATCGGTTGAATGACTGATTCACTATGAAATATCTGATAGGCAAATCACAAGACTTGAACCTAAACTACAATTGTGAGCAGCCCATGACATTGTCCACCCAGGGACAGAGGGGGAGAGCTAGGTTCTGCCTGCAGCTTCTGGCTGTTTCTAGAAGCTCTGGAGCAGATGGGCTGCAGGAAAAGCTGTAGGCAGCCTTCCAAGAACTCACTGAGTGACCCACGCACCTTTCATTAAACGCTGTTCACAGGGGCCTACTAAGACTTTGTACTATTTTCTTATTGCTGCTATAACAAATTACCACAAACTTGGTGGCTTAAAACAACACACATTTATTATTTTACAGTTCCGGAGGTCGGGTGTCTGAAATGGGTTCACTGTACTAAAATTCGGCTGTTTCTCCTGGAAGCTCTGGGGGAGAATCCTGTCCCTTGCATTATCCGGCTTCTGGAAACCACCAGCATTCGCGGGCTGGTAGCCCCCATCCTCTACATTCGAAATTAGCAGCATAGCATTTTCCAGTCTCTGGCTCTCACCCTCCTGCCTCACTCTTATGAGGACCCCTGTGGTTACACTGGGCCCACTGGGATAATCCAGGATGGTCTCCCCATCTCAAGATCCTTACCTTAATCACATTTGCCAAGTCCCTGTTGTCTTGTAAGGTAACGTATTCACAGATTCTGAGGATTCGGATGTGGACAGCTTTAGAGGGGCATTAGTCTGCCTACCACAGATCCTGAGTAGGATGAGCTTGGTTTGGGGGCACCAGGCTGGAGCTCAGCCTCCTGCCTCCCTACCGACTCCGTTCAAAGTAGAGTTCAATGTGGGCCAATGGCTCACTCTCCTTGACAAGTCGTATTGGCTGCTGGGACTCAGCTGGACCACAGAGAAACCAGCCAGGCCAGGCCGCGGCCTCAAGCCTGAAGGCTGAGCCCGAGCTTCTCTGGAAGAAGGTGAAGCGCGTGGCTTCTTCTCCACCCTTGTACAGATCCTCGATGTTCACATCCTGTGGGGGCAAGATGGCTGCTGCAGGATAAGGCCACTGGTTGAGATATCAGCCCTAGAGGCCCCCAGGGGGTGGCCAATGGGGGACTTTACAGGGAGGGTCAGTACCCAGGGCAGTGCCTTCTGCAGGTTCTGGAGGGCAGGGGTCTTGGCACTAGGTGCAGAGAGAAGGGGAGGCATGTGTGGACTTGGCTGGGAGTCCACAGATGGGTGCAGAGATGCCAGAGCACCCAGGAAGGTGGGCCATGTCTGTGGGGCACCCCAGAATATTGGTGTGGTTTCTCACCTCCAGCTGCACAGTAGGCCCCTCTCCTGTCTCCACACAGGCTAGGCAGCGACTGCCTCCCTGGATCCCCAGGAAGATGGGGACTTTGGTGCGGTCCAGGCCTCTGTTGGGAAGTATGCAGATCTTCTCTGGGAGGAAAGAGAGAAGAGAGCCAGGAGATGAAAGGACCTAGATGGCAAGCTCTCAGCAAGCTACAGCTGGGCAGAAAAGAGTTGGGCCAAGGCACACCTGGCTTGAACCCTGCATGCAGGCTGCCAGCAGGCTGGGACTCCTCCAGCGGTCATGACACCCTCAGAAGGAGAGGTCCTCAGCTGCTCCCTGCCTCTTCTCACTGTCACCAGAGGAAGAGGGAAGGGGAGAGCTGGTGGCAGGTGGAGCATGGGTGTGTCTGAGGGGATGGAGGCCCCAGTGGCTCACCTGCACAGCAGTTGTCCACATTGGGATCTCCTACCAGGAGCTGGTCACCTCTTAAGTACAGAGCCTTCTGATCTGCATCCTTAATTCTGGAACAAGATGGTTGTGCTGACAACCTGCTCCCTTCAGGCACCACCAAGCCCCAAAGTCTTCCCACCCCCATGCTCTGAAGTACCACACTGAGCATTTAGGTGTTCTTCTCTCCTATAGGTGAGAAGTAGGTGCATGCCTCCACCCAAGAGCAGGTAAAAATAGGTCAGCCTTAAGGCAAGGGAAGGTCTTCTGGAGCTCGTGATTCTCAGAGGCTCCCTTTACCAGCGTCGGCCTCTGTCAGGGCCCTGGGGCAGTGAGGAAAGCCAGTGCCTTCTCACTGATGGGTAGACAGTTTTCCTGATTATGCTAGCCCCTTTTCATGCCCTTCCTGAAAAATTTCCTAATGAGGCTCAGATGTCTCTAGGATACAGTGAGCCTTATCCCAGATTTTCTGGGCCTGACCCAAATTTGCATAAATGTTTTATTTTCTTCAGTGAAGAGGATTAATTGAATGTGTAATAAAGTGTGGTTTGTGGGGCGCCTGGGTGCCTCAGTCAGCTAAGCATCCAACTCTTGATTCTGGCTCTGGTCTTGATCTCAGGGTCATGAGATCAAGCCCCATGTCAGGCTCTGTGCTTAGCGTGGAGTCTGCTTGAGATCCTCTCTCCCTCTCCTCCTGCCCTTTGCATGTGCTCTCTCTATATATAAAATAAATAAATAAATAAATAAATAAATAAATAAATAAATAAATAAAATCTTTTAAAAAATAAAGTGTGGTTTGCTTTTCAAATATTTTAAAGACTTTTTTATAGAACAAAATTCACAAATCAGGAATAAAAATCCTATGTGACAGTAGGTGTACCAACATGGCCACCCTATTCCATGCAATGTGTATTTTGGGGTGGCCCCGTGTTATGGGTGCCAAATTTAGGAGGTCAGGAAAGAGTTGGAGCAGGGTGTGATTACAGTCATTTGGGGTTGGCAATGGTTCCAATGATCAGCCTGGGAGGGTACATACGTGCTGGGGAACAAGGAGGAAACTATGGTGAGTGTGTGCAACATCACAGTCATGCAGGTTATTAGCTCGCAGGTTATTATCTCGGTGGCTTGGCTGGTTTCAAAATGTCAGCCGCTCTCAGGACCTGGGGAGCCCTCCCTATCTCCAAGGGCAGAACCTCTGGGCCAACGTCAATGCCTCCAGATTTTTTTTATCTCAGTAACAACTAATTATAATACCCTTAGCTAATGACTGTATGTGTGTAAAGAAGGTTCACTTGTACAATAAAAATAAAGATCTGAAAAGAGCCTGGGTTTGCCATTCTCTCTCCAACCTGGACAGCCAGGACTTGTGCGGAACTCATCTGCCAGCAACATTCTCTTTGGAGACCAGAATCCAAGTTAGATACCCCAAGGTGACATCTGTTTTGTCATGTGGGTGCTTAGTGCACATGTGTCTTGCCTTCCCAGGCACATTGTAACTTCCCGGAGGCCCCAACTGGCCCCCTGGTATCTAGGACAGGGCAGGCCCATGGAGGAGCTGAGAAAATGTGACCCAGAAGTCAGTCCTGTTTTATTTGTGTTATGTCTCATCTCATTCCTCAAAGGGCTGGAGACAGTTTACAAGAAATCACAGGCAATAAAGTGTAAACTATAAGGAAAGTCTCGAATGTCAAATGAGGTAAAAGGGATAATTGGGAGTGCAGACAGGGAGGAAAGGCCACAGAGGCCAACATATAAAGATGCCGTCACTGAGATTCAAAATTGCCTCTGAGCTCTTGGAGAGAGGAGGACGGAGTAGCATAGGGGGTGAGTCCCGGCTCTGTGTGACATGAGGTAATTTATTTAACATCTTTGAGCTTCAGTTTCCAAATCTGAATGGACTCAGTCATGCCCCCCTTGTAGGTTACTCAGGAGGAAGGCAAGGCAGCAGAAGGTCTGGCATCTTGCAGATGGTCAGGAAAGAGAGCTATTGTGATGAGGATGATGATTAAGCTTAATTATGGGGCACTTGAGATTTCTTGGGTGAGATGGAGCCGCATCTCTCCCCTCAGCCTTCTTTCCCTCTTCCCACATCATCCCCAGGCCCCTGGTTCAGAGAGGGAGGACTCCAGGAAGACTTACATGTAGTATCTTGCCATGGGGAGGGAGCACATTCCTGCAGTTGAGGGCGACTGGTCCTTGCTGAGGGGGAAGGAGAGAAGGGCTGTCAGAGAAGGGTGGGTAGAGCTGGGGGGCAGACCCCCTGGCGGCCCCTAAATCACCAAATCACAGGGTGGAAAAATCTCACTAGGCTGCTTATCTATAACTGGTCTGCCAGAATCCTCCATGATCTCCCCAGCTCAGCAAGTTCCAGGCAGCTCTGCCTCACCCTCCTTTGGGGCTAACTGACCGGGGTATGGGCCCATGACGTGTGCATGGTGCTAGCTTGGGGAAACTGAAGAACAGGTTCCCCAAAGAGTTTAGACAGGAGTACTTCCTGGAGCTGAGATTGAGGTGGGGTGTGCTCCAGCCTCACAGTTTGAGGATGAGCTGGACTCAAACCCTATCCCACTGCCCAGCCTGGCACTAAAGTCATCTGAAGGTTCTGATTTGCCAGAGCTTGAAGTGACTCCATGACCAGCCAGGCTTGGGAACTGGTATACCATCTCAGTTTTTCTCACTCTCCAGTGAACATATAAATCACCTGCCAGTTCTGGTTCCCTGGGTCTGGGCTGGAATCTGAGACTGTGCATTTCAAACATGCAACCAAGTGATATGAACACAGCTGGTCCCTGGCCACACTTTGAGTAGCAAAGGACTAGATAGAGGACCTCCCAGCCCAGACAGGCCATCAGCAGCGTGGCCTCAATGCAAGCACACTTGATGCTGTTCTCTCTCTCAGCCAAACTACTGGGGTTCTTTTGCTTGCAGCAGCAAAACTAATGGGCAGGCTAGTAGCTATACCAAGGTCTGGCCAGGACAGATCAAGTGGAGGGCTCTGTGTGAGGATGATGACTCCCACTCTTGGTCAATGTGAGCACAAGGGACAGGCAGAAATTCAGTGCTGGTCCAGTCTAGCTTGATCTCCAGGGGCCCCAGAAGCCTTCTGTCCTGGCCCAAACCCAAAATCCAGCCCCACGAACCCAGCCCCTCCTGGGTTCTGGCTAGACTGTGATGAGGTGAATAGGAGTGAGAAGCCAGCTTCTAGTCCATCAGAGAGCCTGGGGTCCTGGTGCTAAGCATCTGCCATGGTCCCTCCCAATGCACCACACAATCCATCCCCTAAGCTTTCCCTTCCCTATTGTCCCCAGGTGACCTTTCCCTGAACTCTGGCCTATTGTCCTCCCTGGACACCATCTCTGGCTGTCTCAGACTTCATCAATCTACCTGTCCTGAGTCAAAAACCACCCCCCAAGTAGCACTGAGCTTTCTCCATCACATCCTCTCCTTGCTCTCCTACACGTTTTCTATGTGGACTATGTTCTCTCCAAGACCAATATTAACTTCTGTGGAGCCAAATCAAAAGACTCTTGATTCTTCTGATATTTGGCTTCTGCCTCCTCAGAGCTCTTGACATTAATTGACTCCCTTCACACTTCCATTTTCCCCTTCTCAGGTCTGTGTAGATTTTCCCTTCCATTTGGTGGTGTCCCTAAGGCTGGAAGCCACAAGTCTAAGTTCTAAGCACTTCTCTCTCATACCCCATGAGTTGCCATTCATCCATTTCCACAGCTGCAGTGATCATATTGGTCTAAAGCCTCCCAAGTCCCAACTGAACGTGATACTTTATCTCCAACAGTCTACAGGACACCTCCCTTTGGACTTCTTGCCATTACACCCAACCAAATAGATCTGAAGTCAAATCAATCTTCTCCTCCTCCCAGCCCATTCACCTCCCCCCTTCTCCTTACTCTGTCTGATTTGCCAACAAGTTCTGATAAATTACTCTTTAAAATGTAATTTTGTCTTCTTTTTTTTAAAGATTTATTTACTTATTTGAGAAAGAGAGAGAGCGAGAGCACATGCACATGAGTGGGAAGAGGCAAAGGTAGATAGAGAGAATCTCAAGCAGACTCCATGCTGAGCATGGACCTGAGCTGAAATCAGGAGTTGGATGTTTAACCAACTGTGCCGCCCAGGTGCCCCTAAAATGTAACTTTGTCTTCTTAATAGCCATTGTACCTGTGCCTGTATTCCTGGCTTTTCTACCTTCAGTCCAGCCTAACCTATGTGAGGTACCTGGACCTATATTCTAGGTATTGCTTTCACAACATCTCCACCTAGCTCTAGAGTCTACAGTGGCTGCCCATTTCATCACCATCTGGCCCTGATTCACTTGTATGAGTGTATCTCACTTCTCTGTGGACACTAAACCACCCCTCCAGGCACATGCCTTCTTTCTCCCCTGTGGGCATGCTCACAGTTGTCTTTGATTTCCCTGCCACAAAAGCCATCCCCCCTCCTTGCCGTCCATTCAGGTCTTTTGGCATTAGAGGAACTGGATGTGGTATCATTTATCTATAGGCTGCGTCTCTAGTTCTGCCAAATTAATTATCAGGTCAGAGTAACAGCTCAGACATACAAGGTTATGTCACCTCACCTCCAATTCTCAGTTTCAGCATCTATAAAATCATGGAATTAGAGACTGTGGTTATTAAGATTCTTCCAGATCAAACGATCTATGATTCCATGACTCAGAGTTTAATGAATCTTTCCTTTACTCTTGCAACCCTACTCTGAAATCCTATTAAATTTCACTGTCTTATGTATTGTTCTATATACAGACATTTATTTCCCTTATAAAAGTTAACAACATGTTGATCCATGAAGTATGGCCTGTAGCTCCCTCCAACCACCCTGACACACATATATGCTTACAAGCAAGACATAGAAACACACACAGAAGATTTCAATGGCCAGGTTGGGTTCTAGACCTAGCTTTGCTACTAATTTGGCTTGCTACCTTAGAAAGTCCCCTTTAGTCCCTGGGCCTCCAACTTGTTATCATTAGGAGGAGAGGCTGGGCAAGGTCAGTATTTTTCAAAACTAAGTTTCACAATGAAAATTTACACAGAAATCTAATGAAAGTAAAATGGATAAAGGGAACTTGCTTTTGCTGAATCAGAGAATGAGGGTGATAGCAGAACCCTGACCTTGACCACTAAAGCAGGCACTGGGGCATATCTAACGAACCCCAAGCCTCACCACACACTGTTGAATACCACTGGCCTGGCTGATTTCTTCTGAAATTACTTCCTAAAATCTATGGTTCTAAATATTTAAAAATCTTGACTTGGTTTAACCCATGCCTTCTCTCAAATTCTTTCTATGTGCTCCCAGACTTATTTAGCATCCCATGATGTTCTGTGGAGGGGATACCTTGTTATCTAAAGAGCTTGCCAGGAGGAGTTAAGGGAGGGGGCATACCAGAGATATTGACAGAAAGGAGAAGGAAAGCGAGAAGGAGAGATAGAATACTGCCTATCAACCACCGACCTGCAATCCTGGGTGCCTGGAACATCCGACTGATTTCTCCAGGGCATCTGCCCCAAGTTTATACTGTCTGGTCAGGGGTGGGTCAAGCCTGCTGCAATCTTTATAATTGGCTCTAGGATGGGAAATAAGGGCCTAGGGATTTCACAATGTCTTTAGCACAGTATGGATAATGAGAAGGCGGGGGCATTAATGAGTGTTTGTTGAAGCGGGAGAGAATCACCCATAAAGCCTGGCAGAAGCCAGTCACTGGGCCCCTGCTCATAGCTACTATCATTGCCACTGTTATTTGTGGTTTCAATAGCCAGATAAATAGTCCTGGGATCAGATGTCTTCATATCACCTTCCCGTTGGTGTCCCATGAGGGTCCATCCTAGGCTTAGAGAGGTAGAAGAGGCAAGAGGGGATGTGTTTAAGGGGCCCAAGGACAGAGCAACCTCTGGTGTTTTAAGCCAGGCTGCAGCTAGCAAGACAACATAAGAGAGGGGACTGATGGCATTGGGAGTATTGCCCTGTTTGGAAAGAAGGGAGGGAAGTCTCTGCTTTTCAACAAGTCCTATTAGTTGTTATCAGGTTGGTGAGACAGAACATTTAAGGAAACCCACCTGCAGAGGACATTGACCTTAGATCCATCCTGGGACTGCACAGCCATTGTGTTCCCTGGAGGGTTAGGACACATGACACCATGTAAGCAGGACAGGTGTAAAGAGCACCATGTGAGCAGGGCAGGAGTAAAGAGAATACTCAAGCCTCTAATCAATTACTTAACTCAGTAAATCCATCCACCCACCTGTCTGTCCAACCATCCAACCATCCATCCATCTGTCTACTTGCAAGCGGTGGAGAAGCTTGGCATAGTGTTCTCTGGGGACCATCTGCCTTACCATAATTCTCACTCTTAGGTCATTCAAAGGGCCTGGTAAGAAAGTAGGAGAGGCCAATCCACATGTAGATGCTTAAAGAGTGAAAGATAAGAAAAGATGGGCAGGGAGGGGACTCAATTTCTGTTTCCTAAGGCCAACAGTCATTCTTCACCCCTCTCCCAATCTATCTCTCATCTCTTTGTGGAAAGGGCCAATGCATGGGGTATTATGCCAGGCAGTCAATGAGCATTTACTGAGCATTGACACTGCTGTGTGACAAAGATGTGCAATGCATGGTCCCCGTTGTTAGGTAGCTTTACAGTTCAGCTGGGGAGCTAAGTCATAAATATTTTAAAAGATAATTAAGAAGACCAGACTCTCTAATCTGCAGGACAAGGGCATATTGGAAACAATAGAGGCAGAGAATCTCCTTGAGTAAAAAAATTCCTAGAATTGAAAGGGCCTGAGACATGGTATATAGTCTCCCTCCAAAGGGAGAAATCTGTGCTACAGCACCCCTGAGACATAGTTAATCAGGCTCTTCTTCAATACCTCCACAACTTCTTGAAGAAACCCTAGCAGTGTGTGTGGTCCTTGCGGTTAAAATTTTGGGGTCACACATAATTTCTGCTCATCAGTCCTGCTTGTGCCTCCTGGAATTACACAGAAAAAGTTTATTTTTCTACTAGGCAGAGCTTTGAGTGTTTGAATGGGGTTTTCTGTGTATTGCTTCTCCAGGATAAAGACCCTCAGCTTCCTAGCCTCTACCCTAACGACTTGATCGTGGGACACTCTCTACTATTCAGAACACACTCTTAGTCCTCAGTGCCTATGCCTGGCACAAATGCCATGTGATGTGGGCATAATACCTCTGTAAATATAGGTCAAGCGGGGGACTTATATTGAAATTGAAGAAATCTAAAACCACTATGTCTTTTTCATATGAACAATCATGATGCCAGGGTCCCCCAGCCCATACATTCCATTTTACTTTCCTTCTTTTTCTATTGACTCATGTCAGCTCATCCCTGCTAAAACCATTTTGAATTCTACCATCCTACAAATGATGAATCAATCACTTTAGGCTGGAGAAAGCTTGCAGACTGAGGTGAAATTTCAGCTGCTCCTTGAAGGGTGGGCCCATTTAGATGGGTGGAGGAGAGAGAAAGAATAGTCCAGGGTGGAGGAATAGTTTCCACATTCTGTACTCACCGGTTTCCAATTATTTGTCAAATGTTATTTGAGATCCTTGGAAACAAATAAATACAGCCTTGACCTTGAGGTCATTTCAGGGACCATAGACCCCAAATCAATTATTACAATGAGGGGAAGTTGGCATAGCAATGTAACACAGTCAGAGCAGATGACCAGAGATCTCAATTCAGCAAAGGCTTCTTGGAGGAGGTGACAATATGAGACTATGGCTAGGCCCCTGGGCAAAGAAAAAGTGTAAAATGGGTCTGCAGAAACAGGCCTGGTGCCCAGAGCCTGTGTTCTTGGCACTCCTGAGAGGCCTGTGGCAGGACTTGTGCTGTCTGCTACCCAAGGGCTTTGGCTGCATCTGGGCCTCAGCAGCTCCACAGAGACAGACCCTTCTGGTCTGGCCACCTCCTTGCTAGTGCTTCAGCAGAATGTGAACCTGCCAGGCTGGTATGACTGGTGAGGTGCAGGAAGAATACCTGGAGCTCAGATTTAGGCCTCTCCTCTGGCTTCTGTTCTGATCCCTCAGAGTTTAGGCAGGGATGCTGGAGTCACAGTCCCTGGCATGTCAGACTGGAGGTGCAAAGGTAGTCAAGGAAGAGCTAAACCTTGCAGACACAGAGAATATTCAACAACTTTAGTATGGTCAGCTTTTAAATAGAATGTTTGGAGAAACAAAAGGGCTGATGTTGATTTTGAGAAGGAAAATGAAAATATTGGAGAAAACTGCAATCATAATAAAATAAATGCATTTATTTCTCTTCCTATGTATTAGTTATCTATTGCTGTGTAACAAGTTGGAGCACCTGGATGGCTCAGTCAGTTAAGCATCCGACTCTTGGTTTCAGCTCAAGTCATGATCTCAGGGTCCTGGGATTGAGCCCTGCATCAAGCTCCACCCTCAGCAAGGAGTCTGTTTGAGATTCTCACTCTCCCTCTCCCTCTGCCGACCCCTGCCCCATGTGCACTCTCTCTCTCTCTCTCTGAAAAGATAAACAAATCTTTTTTTAAAAAAAAACCTTAGCAACTGAAAGCAACAAGCATTTATTTTCTCACAGTTTCTGAGCGTTGGGAATCTAGACCAGTTTAGCTAGGTGGTTCTGCTTCACTGTCTCTCTTGAGGTGGCGATCGAGCTGTCAGCCAGAGTTGCATCATCTGAAGGCCTGACTGTGGCTGGGAGAGCTGCTTTCAAATGCACTCATGTGGCAGTTGGCAGGAGGCTTCATTTTCAACACATGGGTCTCTCTATAGGGCTGCTTATGAGATGGCAGCTGGCTTCCCCCAGAACAAGTAAACAAAGAAACAGAGAAAACAAGATAGAAGCTGCAGAGTCTTTTTTATAATCTAATCTCAAAAGTAGCATAATATTACTTCTGCCACATTCTGTTAGTCACAGAGACAACACAGGTACAATGTGGGAGGGGATATACATGATGTGAGATGGGGTCAGCAGCAGCTGTGTTGATGTCGTAGGGCTGCCATAACCAATTACCACAAAATTGGTGGTTTAAAACAATGAAAATTTTTGCTGTCATGGTTCAGGAGACTAGAAGGCTGTCGTCCCTCTGAAGGCTTTAGGGAAGAATTCTTCCTTGCCTCTTCCTAGCTTCTGGTGGTTGCCTCAGTCATGGTATTTCTTGCCTTATTGCTGCATAAGTGCAATCTCTGCCTCCATCTTCACATAGACTTCTTCCTGGGTCTCCTGTGTGTCTCCTGTTGCATATGCAGTCATGTTGGATTTAGAGCCCATCCGAATACAGCATGACCTCTTAACCAATTGCATCTGCAAAGAACCTGTCTCCAAATAAGGCCCCAGTCTAAAATTTCCAGAAGGACATGAATTTCAACCAGCATGGGACCCTTTGGAGGCTAAAACCCACGCCTTGCAATCTCAGGGGGCTATGACCACTCCAGGTCTAGGATTATTCTTTCTATAAATTCCTTTTCCAGGAGATTCCAACCACACTAACTCATCATATTCTTTCTTCACAGCTTTGCTGAGGTCTGTGTACTGATTCTGTCGCAGCTGACCAGAGCAGCAGAGCTCAATTCAATTTGAATTTCACTCAGGGAAGTGGATGCTGAAGATGATTAGAAATATTGTCTGCTCTGTTTTCCTTAATATTAACTTACTTATTACACAAAGAATTCATCTTCATTGTAGAACAGTTAGAAAATGTTTAAATAAAAGAATAAAAAGAAAAATCACCTGTAATTGCTAAATTGACATTGCTAAAATTGAAGTAAACTCTTTTGGACTTTTTTTCTATGTGAAGAAATATATAGATAGGTATTTTTTTAATTAAAATGAAATTACAAGTTATGCTAATTTGTAATTTGCTCTTCTTAATATGTCACAAGCATCTTTCCATGTGAATAGATACCAGTATCTTGGATTCTAATGGCACCTCAGGTTTCAAAACATATGACATGCCTGGCCATTCTTCAGCCTTCTGAGCTGTAGTCAATTCCTTAGACACCACCACTCTCTCCTGCCATGGCTAGCGCATAAGGGTTGAGATGGAAAATGTAGAATATGATGGCAGTTGAGTTACAGGAAAGAGGGAGGGGGCTGGGTTTTGGGTCTCTAATTCTATGACCTCCCTCTCCTGCATAGTGATAGTAGACAGGTCCTCATGTGGGCAGCTGGTGGCCCTAATAGGCTCAACTTGGGATTGGCTGGCTTGTGGGGCTCAGGGGTACTGGGTAAGTTACCATGAAGCAGGAAGGGTTTCCAACACTCCCCCCACCCCGACCCCTGGGAAACTTTTTATGTGACTTCCAGTTTATCTTGAGTGGTTTTTGCAAGGTTCTACACCAGTAGCACCACTCAATAGGGAAAGAAACTGTGGACTAAGCCCCAAATCTCAGAAGGATTTACCCAAACTGGGAATCAAAAGGGAGAGTGGCCAAGTACCCAGCCAGAGGTGGGGCCCTGAGAACAGATGGGGGGATGGTTGCCAT